TTTCAGAAAAGAAAGAATTTTATGAGTAACGACCCAATAAAAAGGATTTTCAGATTTTTGAAAAGTTTAAATTTTCTTGAAAATATTACTATTTTCTTTAAATCAAAAGTGGGCGTTAAAGTGTGGTATCAGAGCGGGTCTATGGTTCTGTAGACTTGCAAAGTTTTCAAAGTTAGAAAATTTTTCATAATCCTCCAGTTTGAGTATGTATATGACCACCCGCCTCTGCCGTGCCGCTCCAGCTTCGAGGTAAGTTTAGTAGTTAAGTATTCGAGATGTCTAAGTTGTGCATTTCTGTGACTTGCATAATTATAAGTTAGATTAGGGGCCTAGAACATTCTCCTCTCAAATTCTTATAACTCCAGTTAGATCTCCTTCGTTAAATTCAAGTTTCCTCTATTTCTGCCAGCTTATGGCAACCAGAGGAAGAGGCAGGGGTAGAGCCGGACGAGGGGGACGAGCAGGCCGAGGAGGTAGGGGCGACGACCAGCAGCCAGACCCCCTTAATCAGCAGCAGCCGCCGATCTTTCAGCAGCCCCCACCTCATCAGCATCCCCCTGTCTTCCAGCAACCCCCTCATAATCAGGGGCAGAACCATGTTCAGATCATGGGTCAGTTTCGTGTTCTGTCCCCGCCAACTTTCACCGGTGCAGACGGGCCACAAGCAGTTGATAACTGGTTCATGAACCTCGAGAGGATCTTTGAGGTCCTTAACTACTCAGACCAGGAGAAGATTGTCTGTGCCCGCTTCCAGATGATAGGGGATGCGGGTAGATGGTGGTCAGATGTTTGGCGCCTTAAGACTACAGCCGAGAGAGATGCTATGACCTAGGAGCAGATGAAGCTCCTTATTTCAGAGAGGTACTACCCTTATCATTTCCGGGAGCAGATGGGGAGGCAGTTCTATGCCCTGCAGCAGGGAAACCTATCCGTAGAGGAGTATGAGCGTGAATTTACCAGACTGAGTCACTTTGCCCCGCACATGGTGGACACTGACTTTAAGAAGTCCCGTCGTTTCCTGAACGGGCTGCAGAAGGACCTTCACTTCGTGTTGAGTAGCCATGGGTCTCTGACCTGTGCAGAGACCATTCTAAGAGCTCAGCAGATAGCGGCTAGTCAGCGTCTGGAGTTAGACGCAGCTCAGCAGACAGTGGCTCAGCCCAGGATGATCCAGCCAGTTTCTGTGCAGCCACCCTCGTTTCAGCCAGTCCAGGTGCAGCCATCCGTTTATCAGCAGTCTTCTGCCCAGCCGTCTGGTAGTGGCGGTAAGAGAAAGTTTGAAGGCAAGAAGAAGAACCAGCAGAACAAGAAGGGAGAAAATGGTGGACGAGGTGACCGTCAGCCAGCACAGCAGACTCCGAGAGCTCGGCCAC